GTCTTTCTCTCCTTTAAGGAAAATGAAGGAAGACGGTTACATGCCATAGAAAAAACAAAGGAAGAGGAAGCTAAAATTAAAGAGAAGGAAGACAATATTAAGAAACTAAAGGCACGGCATGAAGCCCTACTGACACGAAAAGAGCTACTGGCCAAACGCCACCAGGAGAGCACTGCAAAGATGCCCAGAAAGGTATTATATTCGTAGGTCTTCTATTGTGTCTGAAAGGGGAGAGATCCTGAAACTATCAGAGAAACTGTCAGGCTGTTTCCCTGGACTCAGCTGCTTCATTCGGCTGAAGAGTGAGACTTTGGACTTTGGATCAGTCTTATTCTATTGTGGTTTGATTTTCAGTTTTTTGAATGATGAGACAGTTGGGGTAACAAGAAAAAAATCTGCATACAGATATTGAGTCAAATTTAATGCTTGAAGGCAAAATTGGTGCATTTCTTGAAACATTATACAGGTTCCACCTGTTTTAATATTCAAAATATACTGTATAGTAATGTTACACTTTTTCTCTCGCTTACTCCTTTTTAATGACATTTGATTTTGAGAACACTGGTCGAGGCTGTGGTGGCACGCAGTCTATCAGAAAGGAAATTCTAGAAAGACAAGCTGATGTTGAGAAAGAGGCAGAGCGCAAAAAGCTGGAACTGATGAAGGACAAAGGAACAGCGAACTCTTCTCCTGCACTATACCAACCAACTGCAGCAGCAACAGAGAGAGCTAGACAACATACGCTCAGAAACATGCAAATGGGTAAAAACATACACACACAAAAGACACAGATGTCACTGTGGCACCACTCTTCTGTACAGTTCTGTCTGCAGACTATTCATGTGTTTTACAGGAAATGAAACGGGAGGACTTGCGTTCCACTGCTAAAAGAGAGGAGCTCCAATATGCTCAGATAAAGGTCGGGATTTGTTCAATTTATCAAATGATCGCACCTTACTGGAGAGCCTCTGTGGATACTGAGGACCCCTACGAGCAGCTGGAACTGGTAAATAATGAAAAATACTTCTGGCAACCTTGAATAAAGCAGTATTTGTTGTTGATATGGTGCTTAAAATGAAACACGGTACAGTAAAGTTATAAAAAGTCACCACACGGCAATGTGTGAT